AAATGTTTTTTTTTTCCAGTTTATCTTGCAACACGTTTTTTTTTTTTTTTGATTTTTTCTTCTTCTGCTTTTTCGTTTTTCTTTACTCTTGTTCCTGCTGTAAAGTAGCTAGGGAGAAGTATTGTGTGATCAAAGAAAAGAAAACAAGTAGATATACAGAATGGATGTGGATATAAATGACGAGACGCGTGTTCGCCGTGATATTGTGGAGGCAACGGTGGAGTACTACCCGCTGCTCTCCGATACACAAGAGGTGAATGTGACGGTGGCGTCTGCGTCTGCAAATGCACTGGCGTGTGTTACGCGGCTTGGCATGACGGTGGCGCGGCTGCAGGGACTCAATCAGGCGATGCTGCGCGTTGGCCAACAGTGGCGCCGCGAGAAACAGACCGCTCTTGCCACTGTGGCACAACACCAGAAGTTGTTGGCTTTTTTAGAGGCCCCCGCCGTGCTGGACGATTGCATTCGGAATGAAATGTATCACGAAGCCCTTATGGTGCTGGAGCACATCACACGATCGGCTCATCCAATGGACAAGGTGCAGTTATTTCGTCGTGTGGAGAACGAGGTCCGCTGCACATTGGAGAAGGCACTCGCAGAGGTTGTTCTTCCACGCTTGGCGGAGCAGCTAACTGTTGCCTCAGCTGTAAAAGTAACGACTTTTTTTCGAAGGCTTGGTGTTGAAGAGAGCCAAATACGTATTCTTTTTCTTGCTAAACGCGCAGAATATATAGATGGATTGCTACGTGAAGCGGAGGAGAGTGGTATGCCGTATTCACGCATTTTTAGGTATGTGACCGCTTTTAAGGTTCATGTAAGTGAGGCAATTCTCCAGTACACTGCCTGTTTCTCACCAGATAACGAAAGTGGTTCCTGTAATGAACTCGTCGGCTGGTCTCATGAGAGAGCGTATGTATTTGTTGAAAACTTCCGTGCCTCATTGGAGAAAATCTCTAATGGTTCTGAGTTGGCATCTGTTATTGAACAATGTTTTAATAGCGCTTCTACTGTGGCGCTAGTTCACATGGATGTATCAGGCCTTATTAACGAAGCTCTTATCTCTCGTGTGAAGTCCCTGTTTGCTGATCAGGTCGCCCTCGCAGTGCAATCGTACACAGCTTCCATGATGACCTTCTCATGGCGACCACCGAATGGACTGCAGTGGGGCTCTTTGCAGAGACGAACAGAGACACTACCACCCACAACAACAACAACAACAACACCAATTACACCTCCAGTAACGCTTGTGCAGTGGATGCCTCTTGCATACGCATTAAATGGACTTCTTACCGCATTCAACACTATTAGGAAATGTGTCGTTCCCGGTGTGGAACAGTTTTGTATAGCCAGGGTAGAGGGACTGTTACAGACTATGGCGAAGGATCTCGCACGTGATAAGGAACTTCTTATGGCAGTTGAAGGGGGCGAAAAACAGGTTTATTTGCATTTTGTAGATGCATTTGTACATGATTTTTATCCACACGTTTTGGCATGTGTGCGATTGTTGCTTAGTGATGATGCTCAGCGACTTCTAGCAAGTGGGATGCGAAGCAGCATTGAAAGCCTCCGAAGTATTCTTCCATTAGAGAGTAGCTCTACGACGTGTGATGCTAAGGAGCATACAAGCAATGCCCCATCGTCTGATCATTCTACTGTTACCACTACCAATACTACCACCAATGCTCCTATTCCTACTACTACTACTACTACTACTACTACTACTACTACTACTACTACTACCCATGATGTTTGACGATTAGTTTCTAGGCAAATAAGTAAAAAAACGAATGACTCTTGCTACTTGAAAGGCGATATCTTGTGCGTAGTCTATAAATATTGCATAAGTATGCACTATTTTGCATTCCTTCTTTTTTTTTGTTTTGTTTTCTTGCCGTGTCGCTTATTTCTGATGTCAGAATTGGGTATTTTTTTTTATCATTGAGATTCCTTTGGACATGGACTTCTTTTTGTTTCTCTTTTTTTCTTTCGTGCATCTACTTTCCTGTGTATGTTATAAAGAAGAAAAAGTAATAACACACATCAACCAAGGAAAGAAAAAAAAAAAAAAAGGAATAGGTTAAAGAAAAAAAAAAAAAACTGGGAGGTTACGGAAATATGCTCACTACTCATTCCAGTCAGGTGGGTGCCATGTATACTATTTCTCACGAGGTGGTGAATCGTGTCGCCCTGGAGCGATATGAGGACAGTCAAACAGCATTTCATGTGGCAAAACGCGATTATCAACTCACGATGAACCGTATTTCATCTCGCCTGCCAGCAACTGTGCCTGAGCTGACGATGGAGGTGAAGGATGAGTTCAGTACATACTGCAGCAGTAATGCTGAAAGCATGAATGCGACTAGGAGAATTCCTGACGACGGCTTGGATTGTTCTGAGATTGATAAGATTTTGAGTGAACGTGCAATGAAACGTTTTGAAGAGGACACGACTGGTGGCCCAACGTGGAAACGTAGCGCTCAACCCAAAAAACCGTTGGAATTATTAATGCACCGAGAGTCGCTTGCCCGTCAAGACATTGAGGATGTGGAGCATGAGTTTTTCCGTAACTTAACACAACCCTTTTTCGAAAATCCCTTGATGCATTTTCTTAAGCTTACAAGAGATGAAAGGCGAGAACGCAAGACGATTGAGGATACTTGGATGAGTGAATCACTTCCCTTCCTCGATCATTGTCATATGAAGCAGGTGGACTATGAAGAGGAGTTCTTGCGTCGCGCTCTTGGTAAAGTGAAGCGTCCATTAATCTCCATGCGATCTAATACACCGCAGACGACATCCGATGAACTGGATGTACGATTGTATCAACCACTGCTGCAGCGCTGTGAGACCATACGGCGGGAGACAGAGTCCGAAGAAGAAATCGCATTCCTATACCTTCGCTTGGGAGAAGCATCACAGCGTGACCTTGTTGCTCGTGGTATTATGCGGCGAAATAAAAATACCGGATTGCTGGATTCCGTGCGACACCCAATTGAGGTGGATCACTACTATGATGTGGACCTTGCCTTTGGAACGGAATTCCGCTATCTTGAGTCTCGCGAGGAGACCGAGCGGATGGCAATCATCGATTCATGGCTTTTGGAAAGGTGTGAACTATGTAAAACAATGGGAATATTATCATAATGAATATGGAATCGCAAATACAATAATTTCTGCCCATTACAGGAGATTTATATATACACACATATATATATATACATATATATATATATATATATATATAATATAGTATGGTATAATATGTAATATATAATATAATATACATATATATTATATACATGTATATGTATATATTATAGGCTTGTATATCTTGTGCCCCTTATAACAAAACGGGGGTCTGATGATTTTTTCTTCTTTTATGTGTTTTTTTTTTTTTTTATATCTCCTTGTGGTTTTCTTCACCAGTGTCTTCTTGCCCTTTCAGTTTTTTCTTTTTTCTCTCTTTTTGATGATGATGTTTTCCCACACCTCTCACTTTCTTTTCTATTCGTTTGTATCTAACGAATTACTACACTTGGGAGCCTGCCACTTATCTTTCTCTTAATATCTCTCTTTCTATTGCTGTTTCATTTTATTGTATTAATCTTCTTTTCTATTCTATTTTCTGTTTTTTTTTTTAACTTTGACAAAAGCAGGTGTCGAGTCCCCACGCGAAGAGAGAGACCTAGGGAAGAGGGAAAGAAGTACACGTACATACCCAAACACACTTTATATATATATCTATACACACTTACATAAAGAAAGAAAGAAAGAAAGAAAGAAAGAGAGAGAGAGACCGTGTTGGTGACGGCTGGCAATGAATATCGGGCCGGACAGCGGGCGGTCGGCGGGCTACGAGCCAACACCGCAGACACGCAAAAAGGCCGTTGTGCATCGAAACCCAAATCACGTCGCGAAGGACGTCTACGATGCGCTCGGCGGCACAAATCCGCTCCTCTCGCGACTGTACAGCAGCGGCGTCTCCAGTGGACCGCAACTCGGCGTCCCCAATCGACTCGCACACGATCAGCCTTTTCACAGCACACAAACACAGAAACAGACAAACGAGGAGCCAAGACCACCCACAAACACCATCACTGAACAGAGCACCAAATCTCTACCAGAGACACATCCACAGACACAGACACAGCCATCACCGCATCGCACACTCCAACTCTACAAACAACCAACCTACCCAGATGAGGAGCTCAAGAAGATGTTTACCACCGGCAGTTATGTGGAGAACAGGGTGTCAACAATCTCTCTGAAACGAGGCCGATCTGTTCCTGGGAAACTTAAACCACTCACCGATGATGTAGAGAAGCACAAGGAAAGAAGGGGAGAAGAACACGCGGATGCTGAGAAGGAAAAAACAACAACAACAACAACAACAACAACAACAACAGCAGCAGCAGCAGCAGCTAATGAACTGCCCGTTGCAGAAGTGAGTTCAATTCCGCGCTTTACAAAGGTGAGATCAAATGCACCAAACGAATTCACATATCTTGTTATGCGGCCAAGGGGAATTCGTGATCCATATAACCCATATGATCTGCAAGTTGTATCACACAAAGATATTGACCCATTAAATTACTACACCATTTCTGCTGCGGGTGTGACGAAGTTCTCTCGTCATGAGGCGGAATTTATTGAACTGCAAACATGGGAGAGAGATTGTCGTATTTTTAATCAACTAAGAGAGTTAGATGTCTTAAGGAATTACAAAAAATGGAAAAGTTTTCTCCTTTGGCGAGGTCTTGTTCGTAATCATGCAATGTCCAACTGCAAAACTTTCCTGACAAAGAACCTCTTTCACGTCCATCCTCATCTCTCTGGTGCTTTGCAGACTGTACGACGAATGTGTTTAGATTGCATTAACAACAATAGAATGCATCTTCCTGCGACAGAAACTCGTACACTGGAATCTTTTTGTTCTACTCTGGCTGCTCATTTAAATTTTCAACGAAATCGTTTGGAAAAAATGATAAAAAGTATTCGTGACACTGTTGAACGTGCATGCAAGGCAGCCATGTTAGCAGCACAATTAGAACGAGAGAGTGTCAATGCCTTGCACGCTGAAGAAGAAAAGAAAAAGAAGAAACTTATTGATGTTCGAGAACTCGGGACACGTCAAAAACCAACCTACATTGAGATGTCACAGAAAAAGGCGGTCTGTCAACGTCTAACGGCATTTATTCGGTTATGTGATTATATCATTATTAACTGTTTAACCAAATTGGCTGCGAAGGCGGTAGAAGATGTGCATGATGATTTCCTTTTCCCAAAGCCTGTACATGTAGCGGAGCCAGTTGCATGCGGCGGTGCGAAGACGGCAGTGAAATCACGACGACATGAGGCAAACGCAAAGGCAGAGGCGCAAAAAGTGGCAGCCCCATTTACTGGTCCTATCCTTATCCTTAACGTTCTATACAATGAGGCTGAGGAGTCTATTAATATTACACCAACACTTCCACAAATTGTGGAATGTGTGGAGGATATTATAAAGGATTATATCAAGACGTTAAGTGCTATTCCACGGTTGGTTTCAATGGATGCATTTAAAGTGTTTACCGACTCTGCAACAGATGACCCACAAAAGGAACTCTCTTCTGGTCCTGCTGTAGGTGAAATGATTGTCTCAGAAGAGGCGTATAAACAACATATGGTGGCTATACGCGAAGGAATTACAAAGGCATATGAAGTTGTAGAGGAATACGCAAGCAGTTTTGAATGTTTTAGAGATATGTATGTTGAGAATAGTCAACTTAACGCAGAAGAAGTTCAACAAAGTAATATGTCTCTTGAGTTCTATCGTCAACGTCTTAACCTTTACAAGGATGAAAGTGAAGCCATTACAAGTAAAATACCCAATTCAAAAGATGTGGCACTTTTTACAGTACAAACTGAAGCACTTCGTGAATTCTTTAGCCCAAGTCCTGTTGCATGTTTGGAAACCTTCCATCATCTTCTTCCTATTATTGCTCAACGGCAAAATGAAGCATTACTAGCAGATCTTCAGAGCTGTAATGTTTATCTTTCTTCCCACCCAAAGACGGTGGAGCACTATGTAGAGTATCTTGCCTACTATAAAGCATTAGAAGGCCGTTTTGATAGTATTGCAGCCTCATATGATTTTATTCGGGAATTATTTAATTTATTACAAGAAGAAAAAGTAGAAATTAATGAAGAAGTTGAGGAAACGTATAGAAGTGGAACTCGACCACAGTTTGAAAAGTTACGCACCTTAATGCAAATTATTGAAGATGGTAAAGATGCTCAACAACGATTCTTTATTCGTAATATTGATGAACAAATGGAGGAACTTCGTCGTCGTATTGAAGATGTATACGATCGTGCTGGTCAACCGATTGTAGCGGATGAAAATGCGGATATTGATGTTGTGATTGATTTTATCACAAAACTACAAAAAGAGGCTGAAGGTATCGCCGCACGAGAGAAGGAGTTACGACAATATCAAATTGCCATTGGTGGAGAAGAAACTGTGGTGGATACAATGGGAGATATGTTGAATGATGTGAACATAAAGGCTCGACTTTGGGTGGGAATGCGAGAGTGGGATACCTTTGCAGAGGAACACGCGAGTATTCCATTTGATCAACTGGATGTATCATCTATTCAAGAGACTGTACATAGATACGTGACAACTGTTAAACAAGTAACCTCCAAGTTACCCGGAAATGCCGCTGTCTCTAGATTAAAATCCCGTGTAGAGGAATGGCGTCTTCTTACACCTATACTTCAAGCTCTTACAAATCCAAAAATGAAACTTGAACATACATCCAAGGTATCAAATGCTGTAGGACTTTTAGAAGATGAAAATGGAACCTCTAAAACACTTGCAGATTGGAATAACCAATTTACAATTGGTATGTTACTTAAAAACAATATTATGAAATATAAGGATGAAATTCTTGCTATCAGTGCTTCCGCAACAGAAGAGGATAAACTTCAACAACAAATTGATAAAGTGAATGCGCTCTGGAATGGTGGGGGTCCAAAACCACCGATGGAGTTTCAATTTCACAATCACAAAGATATCAAAGATCTCTACACACTTGTTGGCTCATCTGTTGAAGATGTAATGGCTTTACTAGAAGACTCTGCCATTGCCATGTCAACTATTGGTTCAAGTCGTTGCTGCCAAGGAGTTCTTCGTGCACAGGTGGACCGCTGGGAACATCGACTAAAGTATATGCAAGAAAGACTTGATCGATGGGTGGAATTACAACGAAACTGGTTATATCTTGAAAATATATTTTCTTCTGCTGAAATTCGAAGTCAATGGAAAGATGATGCGAAACGATTTGAAAAAGTAGATCGTTATTTTCGAGATTTGATGCGTAAAGCGCATGATATGCCTACTGCATATCGTGCTTTACTTATAAATGCACCAGTGGAAGGTAGTGAACAGATGACCTCTAAAACTTATAAGTGTGATCTTGAAACTAATATCAAGGAACTAGAAAAGGTATTAGCAAGTTTAGAACGTAAACTAGAAGAGAAACGATGTGCTTTTCCACGTTTCTACTTTCTCAGTAATGATGATCTTCTTGATATTCTTGCAAAGGTAAAGACCCCAGAATTAATTATGCCTCATATGTTGAAAATGTTTGATGGTATTAAAACTTTGGAATTTACAGAATCGAATGACATTACACATCTAGTGTCAATGGAAGGTGAACGTGTAGAACTTGTAAATAAAAGTATAAAAGCACGAGGGCCGGTAGAAATATGGATTGATATGCTTGAACGTGAAATGTTTTCTACACTTCGAAAACATGCGAATACATGCCTTCATGATTATGAGGCGAGAGGAGATCGAACCACGTGGATGTTTCAACATCCTGTACAGCTTGTATTGATTATGGAACAACTCTTATGGACTCGTGGAGTGGAAGAGGCATTGGGCCAGCCAGACTCTGAACAACTCATGGTACGCTTTAAAGATGAAAACTATAAAAAATTGGAAGAACTTGCAGGTCTCACATCCTTAAAACTTTCAAAGGTGCAACGTATTCTTCTCTCTACACTTATTACAATAGATGTGCATGGACGTGATTTGGTAGATGAAATGTGTGAATGTGGTGTATTAGAACCAAAGGAATTTGGATGGACAAAACAATTACGTGTATATTGGGAACAAGATACAGATGGATATGGAAATATATTTATACGACAAAATAACTCACGATTTGTGTACGGATATGAATATTTGGGTGCACAAGGACGTCTTGTTATTACCCCACTTACAGATCGTATTTACATGACGGTAACAGGTGCATTGAAATTACAACTTGGAGCGGCCCCAGCAGGTCCTGCGGGAACTGGTAAAACAGAGACAGTAAAGGATTTAGCAAAGAATTTAGCCCGTCAATGTATTGTATATAATTGTTCAGATGGAGTTACATATAAAATGATGGAGAAATTCTTTTCAGGTCTTATTCAAACAGGTGCATGGACATGTCTAGATGAGTTTAATCGTATTAATATTGAAGTGCTTTCTGTGATTGCCTCACAGTTACTTGAGATTAAACTTGCACTACAAAATGGATTGGAAACTTTTACATTTCAGGGAACTCCGAATGTACGTGTGCGGCAAACATACGGTGCGTTTGTAACGATGAATCCCGGATATGCGGGACGTACAGAACTTCCCGATAACTTAAAAATTCTTTTCCGTCCTGTGGCTGTGATGACACCGGACTTCCGTATGATTGCAGAAGTGATTCTCTACTCGGAGGGATTTAAAAATGCCAAAGATCTATCCCTTAAGATTACACAATTGTATAAGCTAAGTTCAGAGCAATTATCCCCACAGGATCATTATGACTTTGGTATGAGAGCTCTTAAATCTATTCTTGTCATGGCAGGTGATTTAAAACGTTCACAACCTGATGTGGAGGAGGATTTAACACTTATCGTTGCCTGTAATGATTCCAATGTACCTAAATTTGTTGCAGAAGACCTTCCACTCTTTCGTGGTATCATGCAAGATCTCTTCCCTGGTGCTGAATTCCCAGAGCGACAGTATCTGGAGTTACTTCCTGCTATGCATAAAAGCATAGATTCAAAGAAACTTGTATCCTATGATCCTTGGATTAAAAAAGGTATTCAATTTTATGAAACACTTATTGTTCGTCATGGTGTGATGTTGGTGGGTGTTACCGGCACGGGAAAGACAGAAATCCGAAATTGTATTTCCGATGCCCTCACAACAATGGCAGAGGATGGATCTACAAACCCAATGGCACGACCCGTACATCAATTTGTATTAAATCCTAAATCGGTTATGATGCATGAACTTTACGGTCAATTGGATGTAAACACAAATGAATGGCGAGATGGTGTTTTATCCGTTATTGCCAAAAATTGTGTACGAGACTCTGAACTAAATAAGAATCATCGTTGGATTGTTTTTGATGGTCCTGTGGATACATTATGGATTGAGTCATTAAATTCTGTTCTGGATGATTCCAAACTTCTTTGCCTTGACAGTGGTGAACGTATTAAACTACCAGATACTATTCACATGCTCTTTGAAGTGGCTGATCTCGCCGTGGCCTCACCGGCTACTGTATCCCGTTGTGGTATGGTCTATCTTGACACTGCAGACTTGCATTGGAGTGCGGTTGTAAAACACTGGGCGGCATCAAAGTTGGCAGATGCGGGTGGTGAACCACAATGTCGTGCATTCATCCTTTCTCTCTTCGACACATATGTGCAGAAGGGACTGGATTGGCTCGCCACACAAAAGGTACTTATTAATGCTGGTGTAGTGAATGTGGTACAATCTATGTGTGATCTCTTTACAGCTCTTCTGTATTGTAATCAGGTGAAACTTATGCCAGATCCAGAAGGTGAAACTGTACTTCCATTTGATTCTAAAGTATTTAAAGATCGTAATGAACTTTGTGGATTACTCTTTGCCTTTTCGTTTGTATGGTCTCTTGGTGGAAATCTGGATCAGGCATCCATGGATCAATTTGATACACTTGTACGTAATCTCTTAGAGACGGTGGTACGTTTCCCTAATAGTGGTTCTGTGTATGATTACACTATTGACTTTTCCACACGGTTGTTTGTTCCTTGGGATGGACGTATGGAAGAATTTACCTATGATCCTCAAATACCGTATTTTAATATTCTCGTTCCAACAATGGATACCGTACGTTACAGTACACTCGCCAAGACATTAATTCAATATGGTAAACCATTACTTTTTAATGGTCAAACAGGTGTGGGAAAAACTGTTATCATGATGGATTACTTAACACGACATAAGGAAGAATTAAAACTATCTGTTATTGTCTTTCAATTTTCTGCTCAAACTTCCTCCGAACGGACACAAGAATTAATAGAATCTAAATTAAAGCATAAACGTAAAAATATTCTTGGAGCTCCACCTGGGCGAAGTGTCGTACTCTTTATTGATGATCTCAACATGCCAGCACTTGAAACATTTGGCGCATCCCCTCCCATTGAACTTTTACGTCAAATGATGGGAAATGGTGGATTCTACGATCGTAAGATTGCTGGATTCTGGAAACAAGTACAAGATGTAACTGTGGTGGCAGCGTGTGGACCTCCAGAGGGTGGACGTAATCCAATTACGGCTCGTCTTACAAGTCTTTTCCATCTTTTCCATATTCCTACTCTTAATGATGATTCCATGAAACGTATTTTTTATTCTATACTTCATGGTTTCTTTCAGGTAAGAAATTTCAGTGGTGAGGTACGAGATATGGCCAAATCTCTCGTGGCTGCAAGTGTTGAGATTTTTACTAAACTTCGTGAGTCCATGCGACCAAAACCAACCACACCACACTATACATTTAACTTGCGTGATCTCGCTAAAGTGTTTCAAGGGATTACACAAGTAAATCCTCGTGTGTGTAAAGTACAACGTTCTGTCACTAGACTTTGGATTCATGAAATTATGCGATGTTTTTATGATCGTTTAGCCACTCAAGAAGATCGTCAGTACTTTACAGAAGAACTCATGATGGATTCCTTAACACGTCTTGTTCCTGGACAACACTCTTATGAAGAATACTTTGAAGGAGATCCACTCGTTTGGGCAGACTTCTTACGTGTGGGTGCAGCAGAGCGGGTATATGAGGAATTAACAGATTTTAAGAAACTTCCTACACTTTTTGGAGAATATCAAGATGATTATAATGTCTATTTAGGTAATGGAATGGGACGAGATGAGGATAATAGTGGAAATAGTAGTTCCTTCTTAAATCTTGTTTTCTTTAAAGATCATTGTGAACATTTGGTACGTATTATTCGTATTTTACGTCAACCACGTGGTAATGCACTACTTGTGGGTGTTGGTGGTTCTGGAAAACGTTCACTCACACGTCTTGCAGCTTACATTGCAGATCGTCAAACCTTTGAAATCTCTGTTGGAAAAGGTTATTCTATGAATGAATTTCATGAATTTTTACTGGAGCTTTACACCAATACAGGAGTACATTGTAAACCTTCTGTATTCTTACTCTCTGATAATCAAATTGTTCATGAGGGAATGTTGGAGGATGTGAACAATATTCTTAACTCTGGAGAAGTTCCTTCACTCTTTATACCGGATGAACGTGAGAAACGTGTAAATGCTTGTCTGGAGGCTGCACAAGAACGTGGTATAACCGATCGAGATGATGTGTATAACTTCTTTATCTCACGTGTTCGAGACAATTTACATATCGTTCTTTGCATGAGTCCTGTAGGTGATACATTTCGTACCCGTTGTCGTCAATTCCCTTCACTTACGAACTGTTGTGCTATTGATTGGTTTGATGAATGGCCACGAGAAGCACTTCTTGGTGTGGCACAACGTCTCTTTACAGAAGCTGAAAGTGCCGTATCTGCTCAACTTCTTCCTGTTTTGGCACCACTTTGTGTAGATATTCATACTACTGTATTGGAAGTGGCACATGAGTATTGGGAAGAGCAGCGACGACGATATTATATTACCCCAACCTCATACTTGGAGTTTATTGAATTGTATAAGGCACTATATAATGAGCAACGATCATTACTAGAAGAACAACTTTCACGTGTTGTAAATGGTAAGGAAAAAATGAAGGAAACAGATGATACTATTGCCAAGATGAAAATAGAGATTGAAACTAAACGTCCTTTACTAGAAAAAGCTTCTAAAGAGACAGAAGAAGTTGTTGCCGATTTATCTGTACGACAGGCGAAAGCTAGTGAAGTACAAGTACAAGTTAGAGCTCAACAAGAAAGTGCAGCAGAACAACAAAAACATGCATCTCGTATTGCAAATGAGGCTAATGCTCGACTTGCTGAAGCAAAACCTATTATTGATAAGGCGAAAGCAGCTCTTGATACTATTCAAGCTAGTGATCTTAATGAACTTCGTTCCTTCGCAAATCCACCCTCTGCTGTTCTTAAAACTACTCAAGCTTGTATGGTAATGTTTGATCCAAAAGATTTTGGTGGGGCTTGGTCTGGTAATACAGACTGGAAAGGGGCACGTGAATTCCTTTCATATCGACCACTTCTGGATATGATTCGTAATTACCCTACAGATAATGTTAAACCGGCCATATTACAGAAAATACAAAAGTATGTGAGTGATGAGGAGTTTACGGTTGAAATTTGTTCACAAAAGGGTTCTCAGACATGTGGTAGTCTTTGTGCATGGGTACACGCCGTAAATGAGTATTCAAAAGTTGTAAAGGAAGTTGCACCAATGCGAGAGGCTGCAGCAGAAGCGGAACGTCATCTTGCAGAGACGAATGAGAAACTACATGCTGCACAAGAGATGTTGCGTGAAGTTGAGCAAGAACTTTCCGAATTACAAAAGAATTATGAGGCAAGTTCAAAGCGGAAAAAAGATTTAGAAGAAGGATTGAAAATGTGTATCCGACGACTTGAGAATGCGGAAAGTTTATCCAGTTCTCTAAAGAGTGAAGGTGTACGTTGGGAGGAAAATATTCAACAATTTCGTCAACGATTAGAATTATTACCTTTACAGTCTTTTATGGCAAGTGCCTGTGCGGCTTATTTTGGTGCCTTTACGCCACGATTCCGCAAACGTCTCGTTCAATTATGGCTAGCGAAGTTGGGAGAACATGGATTGGATGCGGCCGACTTTACACTCTGTGGGACTCTTGGGGACCCAATGGATATTCTCACTTGGCAAATTAATGGACTGCCAACAGATGAGAGTTCAACAGAGAATGCCATTCTGGCATCTCTCTCCACCGCCCCACGGCGTTGGCCACTTTTTATTGATCCACAGGAACAAGGAATAAAGTGGCTCTTACAGCAATACGGAGGTTTAGGCACTGGTGGGGGTGGAGGTATGAAGGGTCTTGCAAAGACCGCATCTACAGTGAAAGTTATTAAATTTTCAGAACCAACGTGGATGCGTACACTCGAAACACAAATTCGACGTGGAGGTGTAGCCATTTTGGATGATGTTGGGGAAACACTTGATCCCGCTCTTGAACCATTGCTTTCTCGTCGTATCTTTGCAGCTGAAGGTGGTTCACCACAAATTAAATTGACTCCACAAACTGGAGCTATTGATTATAACCCAAATTTCCGCTTCTTTATGTGTACAAAATTACCAAACCCACATTATTTACCTGATATTAGTACTAAAGTAACATTGCTTAATTTTACAGTTACTCTTGATGGTTTAGAGGAGCAATTACTTGGAGAAGTTGTCTCTATTGAGAAGCGTGAGTTGGAAGAGGAGAAAAATCGTATTATTCAAAGTATTTCACATGGTCAGAAGAAACTTCGCGCTATTGAGGAAACTATTCTTGGTAAACTCAAATCTACTAAAGGTAATATATTAGATGATAGTGAACTTATTGCAGAACTTAAATCCGCCCAATCTAATGCACATGATCTCAGTGAAAATCAAAAAGAAGCAAATGAAAAGATGAAAATTATTACATCTACACGTGATCGTTATCGTGATGTGGCTGTTCGTGCTTCCATTCTCTTCTTTGTTTTGGCTGATATTGCTCGTATTGATCCTATGTATCAGTACTCTTTACAATTCTTTGTAAAACTTGTTCAACATGAGGTACAAGCTACGGAAAAACCAAATAATTATACTGAAGAGGATGTCAATATGTTAAGAGATCATCTGGACAAGATTATTTCACGACTTACACTAACTACATATGAACAAATTTGTCGAGGTCTTTTTAATAAAGATAAAACTATTTTGTCTCTTCTTATTTGTACTTCTATTCAACGTCATAATCATGAATTATTGGAGGATGAATGGCAATACTTTATTCGAGCTTCTGCTTTGGTACCAAGTGATTTATTACCACAACCACAAGTTTTATCATTCTTATCACGACAACAATGGGAACTTACGGTTGCACTCTTTCGTAATGTTTCCTGTTTCCGAGAGTTGGAGAAAAGTTTACAAGAAGAAAGTGAAGCTTGGAAAGAATTTATTCAGTCTGAGGCACCACAAGATGTAAAACTTCCAGGTGATTGGAATAAAAAATTAAATGGATTCCAACGTATTCTTCTTATTCGTTGCTTCCGAGAGGAGAAATTATTCTTTGCACTCACAGATTATGTAGATCATACAATGGGTCGACGATTTGTAGAACCACCACCGCTTAGTTTAGAAGTTGCATTATCGGATAGCTCTGCAACAGTGCCTATTGTGTTTATCCTTTCACAAGGTGCAGATCCAATGGGTATGCTGCAGGCATTCGCACAAAGCCAAGAACAGAAATTGCAATATGTATCATTAGGTCAAGGTCAGGGTGAAAATGCTAAGCGGCTTATTGGTACTTGTCGTAAAAATGGTACATGGGCACTACTACAAAACTGTCACTTATCAAAGACGTTTATGCCAGAGTTGGAATTGCAAGTGGCAGCATTACAACAACCAGGATCAACTGTACATCCAGATTTCCGTCTTTGGTTAACATCTATGCCAACGGACTTCTTCCCTATATATGTCTTACAGAACAGTGTTAAACTCACGAATGAACCACCAACAGGACTTAAGGCAAATATGGTTCGTTGTTTTGGTGAAGTTACAGAGGAAGAATTTGAAGTTTTTAGTGATACAGATCGTATGGGAACTTATCCTAAAGGGATGGCATTCAAAAAACTTCTTTATGGACTTTGTTTTTTCCATTCTGTGATTTTAGAGCGAAAGAAATTTGGTCCACTGGGATGGAATGTACGGTATGAATGGAATGATACGGATTTCCATGTCTCAAAGCAATGGTTAAGATTATTTTTTGAAGAGCAGGAAGTTATTCCATGGGAGTCGCTTGAATACATTATTGGACAAATTAACTATGGTGGTCGTGTTACAGATCCACTTGACAGAGGTACATTACAAACCATTTTGCGTAAGTACCTTTGTCCATCTATTTTGAATAATGACTTTAAATTTAGTCCTAGTGGAAATTATTATGCACCACCTAATGGAAGTTTAGAAAGTTTTATGGATCATATTCAACAAATGTCCCTTGTAGATGAACCGGAAGTATTTGGAATGCATACTAATGCGAATCTACGTTATCAATTACAAGTTTCACAATATCTTATGAGTACTATTGTCTCTATCCAACCACGTCTTGGTGCTGCTGGTAGTACTAATACTGGTGGTAATAGTGGGGATCGTAGAAAAAGCAGCGCAGATAGTGGTGAAGAGGGTGATGAGTTTGCTGCAACTCCTGAAGAAGAAGTTCGACGTAAATGTGAAGAGTTTGAATCCACCTTACCTAATATTCTCTTACGTGAAGAGGCTGGTCCAAAGACTTTTACAACACTTGAGAGTGGTTTACCAAATTCCATGTCTACTGTGCTTTCGCATGAAATGGTAAAATACAACAAACTCATCACGACAATGCGAAAGACTATACATGATTTACAAAAAGCACTTCAAGGTCTGACTGTACTTTCTGCTGATCTTGACGCCATGTATGAATCCTTCTTAACCGATCAAGTTCCACGTTTGTGGTCTGCAGTGGCGTACACTTCTCTAAAGCCGCTTGGCTCATGGTATCGTGATTTCCTGCAGCGTGTGCAGTTTATCCGTACGTGGCTGCAGAAGGGAGAACCGCGCAGTTATTGGATTGGTGGTCTCTTCAACCCGAGTGCCTTCATGACGGGTATCTACCAGGCCTACTCCCGCGCCGAGGGCGTCTCCGTCGACAAACTCGGCTTCTCCTTTAAGATGTTGGAGGAAACACCCAACAGCCACACGGGCGATGGGAACCACAACAGCGGCCATCAGGAGATGCACGCGGCCAGTCACGACGCCGTGGAGAATATCGCGGCGCCGCCCGCCCGCGGTTGTTACGTGCACGGCATCTACACGGACTCGTGGCGGTGGGACGCCGGCCGCGGCGCAATGGCCGACCCGCTCCCCGGCGAGCCCCACGCGCTGCTGCCGGTCGTCCACTTCCTGCCGGAGCCGCACCACAAGACCGCGGAGACGTGGCACCGCATTCCGCTTTACCGCACGGTTGTGCGGGCCGGCGTTATCTCCTCTCTCGGTGCCAGCTCCAACTACGTGCTTTCCATTGAGGCACCAACCGATAAGGGAAGTGATTACTGGCTGCTCATGGGTGCCGCCTGCGTCTGCGCCCTCGCTGTTTAAATATAAGGGTAAAAAAA